CAAGGGCAACATACGTAACCTAAACATCTGTACCCCCATAATATGTTGAAATAAAAGAAAAAAAATTTTCTTCTTTTATCCACTACTCCACAGGAAATAGTGATATCATAGAATCAAAATGTAATTTGTTTCTAATGAGAAAATAATTACAAGCTTAAGGAAATCGCTCATATTGAATCAATTCAGGATAATATTTACTAAAATTCCAGGGACACTTCAATATAGGTAGAAAGATTATAAGCAATAAAGACTACCACATTGATAAGTACTGCTCAAAACTGTTTGCTTTACCTGTGTAAAAGTATATTTTATGATACTTTTAGCTGATACGACATAATCAAACTTACCCATGTCAATTTAAGAAGTCTAAGAAAATCTTTCAGTCTTAGGACCCTTTTTAATATGTCTTGCAAATGAAAGAATACAGTTGCTACAGCAGAAATGGTGGCATGTATAATTTCTGGTGATCTGCAGGTCTAAGGGAATCCATGAATGAAGTACATTACCAACAATAAAGACTTTTATTCCCATTTAATCTTGGTCAGTATACACTTTAAATCTGGTTCCTTTGAATGCTCAATGATTGAAGGGGAGGGATTCACCCTGGAATACTGCAGTGTATGGAGTCATTCTACTCTCCACATAATAGTGAAACAGCAGCACTCTGCTCAAGGAGATAATTCAATGCATCAATGCAATGAGCGTGATCTAATGCGAATACCAAAAAACAATAGAAAAGGTATATGTGGAAAAAAGTCTTTTTCTGTGTTGTTTATTCAATCAATAGAACCAATTTTCACAGCATCTCTGATTCCTTAAAGATCTGTTGTGGTACCCATAGATTTCCATGGATTTTATCCCTAAAATTGGAATTAAAGTATGTTTCTGTTTTTAAAGCAACCCCAGATGTCTTCTTTCAGGCTTATAAAATATCGAGATGAAGAAATAAGGTTGTTAAGGAAGGTCTCTGAGAATACACCTTCTATGGTTACCACCAGGTCTTTTTTTCCCAGAAATTTCATGGGTTTGCTAAGAAAATTCATTTAAAGGGATGATATTCGTCAGGAACAAATAGTTCAATGAAACAGAAAAGATCATTCAGAAATAATCTAAATTATATATAAAAATTTAGTATATAATAAAGGAAATATTTCAAAACAATGGAAAAAGTTGTACTGTATAATGAATGTTCTGAGAACTTTGGTTATCTCTACAAGAAGAAAATTCATAATGTGTTTCCTATCTCACATCATCAAATCAAATTAAACTATAAATATGCCATAATTAATCGGGAGGGAATGTTTCTCTAATCTTGGTTTGGAAAACACCTTCCTAAGCAAGAAATCAAATTCAGATGCATGATAAACACCGCTACAACCCATTGGAGTTGAAAAGATTGATACAGTGAAAAACTCATTAAACAAAGTTAAAAGACAAATGACAGAGCAAGAAAAGAATTTACAACAAAAAAAAACTAATGCGCATAAAATACAGATAATTTCTGAAAAAAAGAAAAAGAGGAGGAGAAGAAGAAGAAAAAAGAAAGGTAACCTAGTAGGAAAAAGGATAAAGGATATAAATGGGCAATTCAGAGAAGAAAAAATACAAGTGATCAATGCATATAGTAAAAAACGGCCAAGCTGGAGCACCTGTGCATTGCTGGTGGGAGTATGAAATGGCACAGATGCTATGGAAAACAGTATATCGGTTCCTCAAAAAGGTAAATATAAAATTACCACGTGATACAGCAACTCCAAACTAACCAATAAGAGATCATTTTCCACTAACCAAGTTAACAAAAATTTAAAAGATTGAAAATATCTAGTGTGACTAGGGTTTAGGATGAAGGATACTTTGCTACAATGTGTATCCCCCAAATTCATGCGTTGGAAATGTAATCCCCAAGGCAACAGTGTTGGGAGGTGGAGCCTCCACCTTCACCCACAAGGTCTCCACCCTCAAGAATGGATTAATGCCAATTATAAAAGGGCTTGAGGCTGCAAATTCAATCTCTCTCTCTCTTGCCCAATCAATTTTGGACTTCCCAGCCTCCAGAACTGTGAGCCAACAAAGTCTTGTTCCTTATAAATTACTCAGTCTGTGGTATTCTGTTACGGCAGCATAAAATGGACTAAGACACAACCTCATATGTTATTAATAGGAGTAAAAACTGGTAAAGATTTTTGTGAGGTCAATTTGGCAGTACTTATCAAAATGCTAAAAATGTTAATATTTCTACTTCTAGAAAAATTTTCTTCAAAACTCTTCAGATAAGTGTATAAATATTTACATGTAAGGATGCTCATCACAGATCGTCTGTAATTTTGGGAAATTGGAACCATCTTAAATATTCATTAACTTGGGAATAGCTAATTAAATTATGATACATTCAGACTACAGTATAATACGTAGTCATTAAAAAGAGTAAGATAAAGTTTAATGTACTGATGTGGAATAATGTCCATGGTATATTATTGAGGTAAAAGCAAGTTATAGTCATAGACCTAAATGTAAGGGCTAAAACTATAAAACTTCTAGAAGGAAACATAAAAAAAAATTGTCATGACCTTCAGTTAGGCAAAGATTACTTAGGAGACAAAATTCACAAACCATAAAAGAAAAATTAATATAGTATCAAAATTTAAAATGTCTGCTCTTCTAAAGACAATGCTAAAATAAAAAGACAAGTCATAGACTGGTAGATAATATTTGCAAAATACCTATCTGATACAGGACTTATATTGAAAATATGTAAAGAACTTTTACACCTCAAAGATAAGACGAAGAATACAATTTAAAAAAGAGACAAAATATTTGAACAGGCATTTCACCAAAGAAGATACACATATAGCAAATAAGCACGTGAAAAAATCCTCAAGATTATTATTCATTAGAGAAATACAAATTAAAACCATAATGAAGTATTACTACACACCCACTGGAATGTCTAAAATTTAAAAGTCCAACAATACCAAGAGCTGACAAGGACTTGGAGCAGCCGGAACTCTCAAAATCACTGATGGAAATGCAGAATTATTAAAATATGGCTGCTCTGGAAAACAATTTGGCAGTTCCATCTAAACTTAAACAGATGCCATATGACACAACAACCCCACTCCTAGGTATTTTCCCAAAAGAAATAAAAAACATATGGCCACACAAAGACCTATATATGAATATTTATAGTAGTTTTATTTATAATAGTCAAAAACTGGAAATAACCTAAATGTCCATGAATGGGTGAATGGATAAACAAATACAATACAACACAATACAATACAATTCAAAAAAATACAATTCAGCAATAACATGGAAGCAACTGCTGTTAAATGTAACATCAAGATGAATCTAAAAGGCATTATGCCAAGTAAAAGAAGCCAATCACAAAAATTCAATTTGTATAACACTCTGGAAAAGGCAAAACTACAGAACAGAAATCAGACGAGTAGCTTCCAAGAGCTGGGTGTGGAAGGAGGGGATTCACTATAGGAGGACACGAGGAAACTTTTGGGAGTTAAGAAAATGTTCTATATCTTGATTGTGGTGGTGGTTGCGCATTTTGACACATTTGTCAAAGCTAATTGAACTGTATACATAAAGAGGGTGAATTTTACTATGCAAATTATAACTCAATAAACTTGACTTTAAAAAAATAAAACAAAAAGGATCAAGTGGCTATAGAGTAGATTCAGTGCAATCATATTGTTATTTAAATGTAGGTGTGCAATTTGCAATTATGTTTATATGTGTGTAGAAAAAAGGTCTTAAATGATCTGAACCCAAATATGAACTATGATTGTCTCTAGGAAATGGGGGTGGAAGCAATTTTACTCTTTATTTTATATACATCTGTATTGTTTAGATTTTTTCCATATACATGAATATGTATGTGTGTATTTTTTAACAATAAAATATATTAAAGGCAAAAAATTCTCCTACCTTGGTGTAAAGGGTTTCTTTAACCATTTATATTACAAATACTCCATCTCATTTCACTCTATTTAAAAAGTAGCTTAAGCATGAGAAAACTTTTTTCCTTTTATAAGAATGATTCTAGCTTCGAAGTCCTAAATCCAAGTAACTAATACTTATTTTTTTCCTCTGAAGCCTTTTCTGTAATAACTGCTTT